GTGTGTGTGTGTGTGTGTGTGTGTGTGTGTGTGTGTGTGTGTGTGTGTGTGTGTGTGTGTGTTCAGAGAGTTTCCCTTATTTTCACTTTTTTTGTCTTTTATGTTATGAAATTGTTCCCTGATTATAACTGCTGTAAAATCTGAGGTGCAATGTTTCTTATTTGTTTCTTGTTTTTTACACTCTGTGGTGGTTTGCTGCTTGTTTTTTTCCCCCCTTCCTGGTTCAGTGTTTTTGGTTACATGTGGTTTTGGATAGTCTTATGCTTACAATAGGGTTGCCACGATAGATTTAGCCATTTCCTTTTTTTTCTTTTTTTTTGTTTTGTTTTGTAGCTTCTTTAACCCAGACTCCAAAGAAGTTGCTTCTCCATAAATTAAATCCATTTTTTTTAATTATGAAACATCTTTATTCAAACCTATAGCAATATGAATGGTATGAACAGTTAATATCTTACCTGCTGCACATAGCTTTCTGAATAAAGTAGAGTTTAATTCTGATCATACTGATGAGCTCAGGGCTAATCTGAGCAAGACAAAAGAGTATTTCTGTCGTGTAAGTTCTGAACTAATCTTCCTCGCTTCAAAAAATCGGAACTGTCCCTTTAAACCAGAGAAGCCCAAACTGGGGCCCGCTGGCCATATTTGGCCCGCCAAGCCATTTGATTTGGCCCACGAACAGTTGCCAAAATTACAAGGTTGTAACCTGTTATCCTATAGGTAGAAACACATTATTTCCATTGGTCAAATGACTATATAAAAGGGCTGTAGTGAAAGTTTTCATTTATGGTGCTGACTTTCTTTGATTTATTAGGATGAAACATGAAATGACAACAAGAAATATTTAGATTAGATTTAACCCCGCATGTAGATTTGCACACTTTATAAGGCCACAAAAACTCATATTTTATCAATTTATGATGTGTCCCATGAGCATATCCTACTTGAGCATGTGGCAGAATTTCTCCAAGTGCACAGACTAAAACAAAAGAGGGTCATTGCATAGCTTAATCGTTAAAAATAAAGGACTTTACTTAAAAAAGTATTTGTATTTCATGTGTTATATTACTACATTTGGCCCACAGCCCTGGATAGATTTTCCTTTTGGCCCCCTCGGGGAAAATGTTTGGGCACCCCTGCTTTAAACCCATGGCTGATGTTGCAGTTTTGCAGTTTTAAATCAACACTACAGACTAAATTTTAATGATAAAGAGACTAAAATTAGATTGAATTTTATGCTGATGGGCAGAAAATTTTAATTTGTAATTGAGTTTTATAGAAGTTGCCTCTGAATCATGAAACTTTGCCCTCATGCTCTCAGCCCGGCTGAGTTTCCAGGCTTCGTTGAGTTTGCGAGGCAGGACAAAGCTATGTCACGGAGGGCAGAATGTGCTCATTGTTCCCAACTGTTTATTTAATGGAAACGTCCCTCTCGGCGCAGAGCCTATAGTCCCAGCTCCCTCCACCTCACCGCCACCGTGGCTCTTTGTCCCTGTACACAGAAAGGGGAAGCGGCGAGCAATGTCCATTTAAAAAACTGTCCAGCTGTCAAAGTGGATCATCTCTGTCCACTCCCCTTCCCGCAGCCTGGCACTGGAAGCCCCAGCGGTGTATCAGGACCGTTAGAGCCAGGCCTTCAGCTTGGATAAAATCTAACATTCTGATTATTTAGAAAAATGTTGCACTTCTACACAGCTTTTTTTAGCAGCATACATAGACAGCGTAATAATTTAACAGTGCATCCAGGTACAACCTGCATGATAAAAGATAAAAATTATAAATATAACATTTCATACGTGCTGACTGAACCCTCAGAGTCCCCCTCTGGTGTCTCTTGAATGGGATTTGAGCAGTGGTGGACACAGCACTGCTAATCGGCTAATAGTGGAACTAGCTTCTCATTCATCGGATTAACTTTTTTTTTTGCTAACGYTGGAAATATTTAGCTTCTGTTAAATTAGTTTCTCATTTTAGTTCACAAAAAAAAAAATCACTAAAAATTATCCCCTCTTACRATCAGTGCTGGATGTGTCAGGCACCATGTATGTAGCATGTAGCATCTTTAGCAGCTAAACCTTAAATAAAGTGTCAAAGAAAAGAAAATAACAGTTAGCAATATTTAAATTACAAATACAAAAAAGGATTATGTATAAAATATGGTACAGAAAGTATTTTCTWTTCATTATTAGACCAACTTTAAATGATATTTATAAAAACACAAACCTGATCTAGGAATGCTTTTAATCTGAAAGGGGTAACTGGAATATATAAGTTATATATTCTATCAAACTAATGTTATATGTTATATATTATAATACAAGTTAGACAGAGTTATAACTCTGGTTTGGATTGGCCGATTTGCCACAGATGATCCCACCCACCTTCAAATTAAACAAATAAAAAACTAAGGAAGGAGGTAAAGATGTGTCACACAGTCATTTTAGCAGTTAGCATTAGCTACCACTTATTTATTTATTTATTTATTTATTTATTTATTTATTTGTTTATTTATTTATTTATTTATTTTGTATGTTTAACAGTTCAGCGTTAGCAGAGATAAGATTCTTGTTTAGCAGATTAGTGGTTAGTGAAGCTAACTTTTGGGTTAGCTGTGCCCACCACTGGATTTTAGAAACCCAAAATAAAAAAGAAACACCTCTTTGGGTTCAAAGTTTTCTATTTTGGCAACCCTACTTCCTACTAGCAGGTTGGTGTTCTTGATTGGTCTGGTCGGTGTGATCAAGTTGGGTTTCAAATGCATTTCTTGGATTTTTCTTTTCACACCAAAATTAACACCACTTATGGTTTGTGTGTGTGTGTGTGTGTGTGTGTGTGTGTGTGTGTGTGTGTGTGTGTGTGTGNGTGTGTGTGTGTGTGTGTGTGTGTGTGTGTGTGTGTGTGTGTGTGTGTGTGTGTGTGTTCTTCCCACAGTGTTGCGACCCATTACGTGTACCCTCAGGCCTTCGTTCAGCCCAGCATGGTCATCCCTCACATACAGCCCGCTGCCGCCGCGCCCGCCGCTGCTTCCTCCCCGTACATCGACTACACCGGAGCCGCCTACGCCCAGTACTCCGCAGCAGCGGCCAGCACAGCGGCCGCCGTGGCCTACGAGCAGTATCCTTACGCCGCCTCCCCAGCCGCCCCGGGCTACGTGGCCACCACGGGCTACGGCTTCGCTGTGCAGCAGCCTTTAGCCGCCGCCGCCCCGGGCTCAGCCGCCGCCGCAGCCGCCGCCTTCGGCCAGTACCAGGCTCAGCAGCTGCAAGCCGACCGCATGCAATAACACCGACTGAGAAGGAGGCGCACCTTCTCCCCAGCCACCGATGCATCACAGGGAGACAGGAAACAGGAAGGAGTGGCTGTCAGGGTGTCTTTAAAAGCTGATGATGAAGATGATGATGACAATGGTGAGGTGGAAACTTCATTTAGTGATTTTCCAACTTGTTGTGCTTTAACCAAAAAAGCAGAAAAGGACAAAAAAGTGCAAATGATTGCCTATTATWACTGTTATTACTGAACTGATTATTATTATTATCATTGTGTTAGAGTACTTAGTTCTAGAGGAACACAGGAACTAATCCCAACGGTTGGTGAACTGTAGGTGTTACACTAAGCCTTTAAGTCCTATTGCTGTCTTTAACGTTAGTTCAGTTATTTAATGCCCTCGTAACATTTCCATTTTATTTATTGTTATTATTATTATGGTTATCGTTGAGGGGTCTGTTAGTTATTTTTGTCCTTTCAAGTGAATTTTCTTTTTTTTTAAGTTAGTGTTTTCTGATAATCAGGGAAATGGAGCCTTTTCAGGAAGTGTCACACACGTTTGATAACCTTTTTTTTATCTTCCTGATGCTGAATGTCCTTTTTTTTTTTTTTTTTAAAGTCAACCTATGCAACGCAAACAAATCGACAAAAGAAAAGAAAAAAAAACTGAAAATGTCATCAACTTGGGTGGGGGGGGGGTGCAAACAAGGCAAAACAAAACAAAAGCAGAGACAATACGAAAGACTAAATCTGTTGCTTTTTCCACGTTTTTACTCACAGTCAGACATCCAGGGTCAAAAACAAAAGGCGGCCCAGGCGTGCGTCTCTGTGAGGGACGGAGCAGCTGCTGGGGGAGGTGGGAGGGGTGGGGGGGGACAGCTTCAGTGCCCCACAGACGGATCTCTCTGGAAGGAACGCATCACTTGTGCACATTTGTTGAGCTGTCACATTTTAATCCCCCCCCCCACCCCCACACACACACACACACACACACACACACACACCCCTCATTCAGTCATGTCAGCACTTCCACCTCTGTGCCGCTGCAGCCTGGTGTCGGGTTTTCACCAAAGCCACCCGGACAACTGCCTCACGTCTGTCAAAAACAGCAGGTGGGCTGGAACGGATTAATGTTTGATGTTACAGTTTTACAGCTATTTAACGAAGAACAATAAAAAAAAGACTATTTAAGATATTTATTTTTGAAGGCTGACACTCTAAGGGTAGAGACTTAGTGGCGGTACTGTATTATTAATATTCTTTATGTACTCATCTCAAGGCATATATAAGTTATTGATTAGTTTCTTATTATATTATTAACATTCTCAACAAAAAATGTTAATGTAGAAGTTATTTAAAACAACGTTATGTGCACTGTACATCTTTTTGACTTTTTAGAGCATTAAATATTAGCTTGCTTTTTTTTGTACAGAGGAGGTTGCTTTAAATGCAGGTCTTTGTTCAGATAGGAAATATTAATAATAAAAAAACGAGCAAAAAATGCTGCTTTCCTCCACTAGAATGTATGGTTGTTGTCAAGGTTTCAGTGGCCGTGCTTCCTCTGCTTCAGATTCATTCAGATGGGCTGTTTTACACTTTTGGGAATTTTATAAATATAAATGTATATATACATATACAGTATATATATACTTGAACTTTTTCTTACAAGGGAAACATAAAAAAATGACGAAAACAAACAAACAAACAAAAAAGAAAAGTTGCCAAGAGGCTTTTTTACTGTCACTGGATGAAGGCTTTTAATGTGTTGCTGTTTAAATGCAAATGTCTCGCTGATAATAAAAACTTTGACTTCAAACATTTTGTTTAATAAAATTGGAATAAAAAGTTCTATATTTGAGAGAAAAAATGGTGTCATTTTTTTTATTTCTTCATCTTTATAAGTACACGCCTTCAGGTTTTTATAGTGGAGAAAATAACGTTTTGAGGATGAAACATGATGTTTCTGTTTATCTATTATTCAWCCATTCTTTAATCAATTATTGATGTTGTAAGGTACGAGCTGCTCCTCCTCAGCTCAGAGGAGTATTTTTGGTCATGACTGAAACATGAAGCCGGGTCACATCACGAGGGTGACCGTGACACAGCACAGATTCAGAGCCTGAGCTGAAATCAGCAGCTGATCTAACGAAATCATGATTACAGTATTTTATTTAAAGAATGATGTGAAGCTGGATGTTCTGCTGCTGGTTAATTATAAAGTTCATTGTTGCTAAAACAATACACTGACTATAGCCTGCAAGAAACTGTTTTGTGTAAAATTTAGTTCATAAAGCCCCCTGTACCTAAATGTAATCCTCCTAATTTACTTTTAAAGCAAAGATTTCTAACAGGTATGTCTTCAGAAATATTCCTTTGCCTTATGTTCCTTTGAAATCAATCATTTTACTCTGCTGGCTGCTGCAGTGCCGGGAAATCCCTTCGTATAATGTCTGACATCATACCATGTCATGAAGATTCTCCTTTTTTTTATTATAGAGCAGGAAATCTCAGTGACATCATAATCTAGAACAAAAAAAATTCCCTCATAAACTTGTTGGTAACCGTGCAATAAAGCTGCCAAATTTCAACAATCATTATGAAGCTTTTCAGAATTTGAAAACGATAAGGTCTTATTATAGAAGTTTTGTCACCTTGTATATTTTTTAAACCAAATTCTATTTTTTTTTCAAATAAACTCTTCTTATTATGTATCTTATTTTGATTCAGACTTAAATTCAAAATATACGTAAGACAAAGAAAAACACGTTAATGACAGCAATAAATACACACATGGTTTGTTCTTCACTAGTCTAAACCTCAGGAAACTCAAGTTAACCCTTACAAAAATAAGTATACCTCAAATACATGTCATCAAAAGGGGGTATTATGTTTTTCCAGGCACATATTCAATTCTATACCACAATCAAGTAACTGTTACCTTCAGCTGTTCTGAAAAAGATGTATACATCAAAAATATTGATTCTGAATTATCTAAACCAGTTGTTTCCCAAAGTTGGGGTCGGGACCCAAAGTGGGGTCCCGAAACATCAAGGTGGGGTCCTGAAAAGATTTTCTGATTCAATTACATTTTTGCTTTAGTTGTTACAAAGGAGTGAGGTTAGTGTATTTAAGATGGATAAATGTAGTATAAAAATATTGTTACTATGCCCATGTTTTGTTGACCTGATACAAATGTTTATCATCCAAAAATAACTGGGGGCACAGGTCTCTGCTGCTGTTATTTTGTGGGTCAGAAGCTGAAAAGTTAAAATAAGTATTTATATTTGTGTATAGTCTGTTTATATTGTCAGAAACCCTGTGTTTTTAGGGTTATTAACAGAGTTCGTGTACTCAGACCAGTCATATTTGGGGTCACAAGTTTTTGCATGGATATTTTGTGGGTCAGAAGATAAAAAAGTTTGGGAACCACTGATCTAAACAACTTGAAATTGTCCTTAGTCTCTTTAAGAACCTCCTACCGTTTCTGACACTCCCACTTCAGGAGAGGTGCTCTGTGGGGCGAGAGCTCTGGTGCAGACTGAGCTCCAGGGAGGAGCTTTGTACAAGTAGGAAGTGTTTTGTACCAGCAAGCGTTTAGCATGAATGAGTCAAAGCAACCCTGGGTGTGTTTATAACGATAGAATGMCATTATAACATGATATAAAGCTAAAATAAAATCGACTGTGCATAATTGCCACCCCTTAAAGTACATTTTCTCATATGTACTTTTATTTTCCAAGTAGGCCCTACACATATATAAATACTAGTAGTTTACTAACAAGTGCACTTCTTGGGACTAAATGGGCCCACTTTAAATTTGTGACTCTGAAGTAGTCATCTTCCAGGTATAGCCTACTGTTAGTTTACTTGTAAAAACTCAATGAATACTGAAAGGAATCTTCTAGACTAGTGGTTCCCAAACTTTTTGTCTTCTGACCCACAAAATATTCATGGCAAAAACTTGTGACCCCAAATATTACAGGTCTGAGTACACAAACTTTGTTAAAAACCATAAAAACACAGGCTGTTTGACAATCTAAACAGCTTATACACAAATATAAATACTTATTTTTACTTATTTTGTGTTTTGGTAATAATTATAGGGAAAATATTGCATCAGCAATTATTTTATTACCCTTTAAATTGATCTCTGGAGATTATCCAAGGTGCTTCATGACCCATAATTGGGTCACAAGCACAACTTTGGGAAACAAAGTGCAGTGGTTCCCAAACTTTTCAGCTTTTGACCCACAAAATAACAGTAGCAGAGACCTGTGCCCCCAGCTATTTTTGGATGATAAACATTTGTATCAGGTCAACTAAACATGGGCATAGTAACAATATTTTTTATACTACATTTATCCATTTTAAATACACTAACCTCACTCCTTTGTAACAACTGAGGCAAAAATGTAATTAATTCAGAAACTTTTTTCAGGACCCCACCTTGATGTTTCGAGACCCCACTTTGGGTCCCGACCCCAACTTTGGGAAACACTGTTCTAGACATATTAGTTCAGCAGTAATAGGCTTACCGTTTTTTTAGTTTATGAAAATACACTTTCAAGTATACTGAAAGTAACCTTTTAAGTTTGCTATAGTTTAATAATACATTTCTAGTCTGCTAAGTGTGAAAAAAAGATCCTTTCCTTGCATAATTATATAATTCACTATTAATGGTGAGTGAAAAAATATGAGCCTAACTTTATGAAGGACAGTCTTAAACCTGGCCTGTCAGTCACCCTCAGATAACTGAAAGGTCTGCCGATATGAGAAACCATAGGAGCACCAAGTAAACCTTTTATTCTGAGGGCAAGGCTCAGKTTTATTTTTAGTAATGTACCATCATGTTAGGATTTTTTCAGATTCTTTCAAAAATGTGTCAAAGACCTGTTTTCGCCTTTTCACTAAAAAGCCCTTGAAAGGAGACCCGTGCAGGGACAAGCAGGGGACAGCCACTGTGTCTCGTCTATTTTTAGCAGAGCCCTCGGAGACAGCGACTGTCCCCCTCCTCCACCACAGAGGACCGAGTCACGGTCCTCCTGGTCTCAGAATCCCCGGTTCATCGTGTTGCTTATTTAGGACAAACCGGAAAAGTGTCTCCGGACCGGACCGAGAGGGAAGACTGCCAGCGAGGAAGTACCGACAAACATCACCGACCGAAGGAAGGAGGTAAAATGTTTATATCATAAAAACAAACAGTCTAATAAAGGAGTCTTTGTTCAGACGAAGGCGGAAGATAGTTTTTTTTTTCGTGTTCATGCCTGTTATCAATATGTTTTATGAAACACTGGACGGATTTTAGTGAAACTTGCAGAAAGTAAATATTTATTGTAAATCTATGACTCGTTATATTTTGGAGTCAACCCGATCCAAGATGGCGGCCGCAGCCTGCTGAATGAAAAAGCACACAAAAATAGCTCCAACTCTGTCTGTTCTTTGGATATTGAGCTAAATTTTGGTGTGGTAGTAGCTGAGACTGTTCCTCAACACATATTTTGAGTGCCTAATGATTAGGCAAGAAATTTGTTAAAAATGTTTGCATTACCTTATTATAGTAAACTGTGTGTGTCTGTTAGCAAAATATCTCACGAACTACTGGAAGGATGTCATTGACACTATCARGTAATGTTCACTGGATATAGTTTAACAATTGTTTAAATTTTGGAGCCAAGCCAATTTAAGATGGCCGCCACCGCCAAGTGACATCAGAAAACACAGAAATGGCAATAACTCAGTAGATTTTACAGTCATTGAGCTAAATTTTGGGGTGGTAGTAGCTGGGAGTCATTTACATCACATACTCCAAGTGCTACCTGTTGTCCTTCATATTTGCTTCATATTTTAGGGTTAAATGTTGCAGTCAAGCCTGCTTGTCTGTTAGCAAAATATCTCATGAACCAGTCAATGGATTTTAATGAAACTCTCAGAAATTAATTAATAGATAAACAAACACAAATGATAAATTTTTGGAGTCAGTTCATTTCAAGATGGCCGCCACAGGTAGTTAATTTTAGTGAACAGAAAAATGTCTATAACTTGGTCAGTTTTAGAGATACTGAGTAAATATTTATCATGGTACGAGCTCGGAGTCATATTCTTAGCTTGACATCTTAYAATATTGCAGGAGGTTATCATTTGACCAAAACGGCTGCAATTATTTTTCAAAAATGAATGATTTCACGAAAAGTGGCGAATGACAATGTTTATTAATGTATTTTTATTTATTTATTTTTTACATTTTTGAAAAAAATCCTAGTTATAATGCCCATACATGATTTAAACATCTTTATTCAGGAATTTTTTTTTAGTTCACATTAATATCCAAAGACTCTGTGTTTTAACTATTGCGTTGACAATGACTGTTATAGAAGAGGTGGCATAAACCAGGAGGTTTTACCTCCTCTTTCCTCTCTACATTGTCTCAGAGTAAAATGCAGAGACGAACAGCAGCAAACTGTGTCCCAGTATAGCCCAAACGATTCAGGAGACTACACAGAGTCTCTCCAGGTTTCTGGTCTCACAGGAGTCGCTGATGTTTCTGACCCACAGAACAGAAATAACCTGTGAGTCCGGCAACAAGCATGTGGCACCRCTGAGAGAGTTTTCCTGGGAGATGACTCCATGACACCCCTCAGGACGTGATAACCAAAAATTACAGACAGGAGCTTTATTCAGTCGGAGCAGCTGATGTATTCCTGCACAGTTTCGTTGTGCTTCTAAAGAATCGTTTTGTGAAGGAAAAGCTCATTAATAATAAAACCATAGGTGTCAGATCAGAAACTGTTAGCTAGCAGTAGTTTGTGTAAACATCAGTGGGACGCTGGGTTGAATTCCTCCTCTGCTGACTAATAAATATTGGAAGCGGTCCTGCGTTGTCTCCTGGTTAGTCAGAGTTAAAGATGGAGAAACTGTTCGCTCTGTGTCTTGTTTTTGTGAGGACTCGGCTACATCAGTTAGGATGGTCAGTTTTTATTTTCATTGTAATAAAAGTTAGAAAAACTGATTTTACAGATGAGTCTCAGCTACTAACATCAAATCTTTACATAATACCTGCAAACTTTAAAGATATTTTTCTGCTGAGTTAAGTGGCTTCACTGTGGTGGCCATCGTGAAATAATAAATTGTAAATATCCATCCAATCATTACAGGCTGAGACTTTCATTAAAACATGTTTTTATTGAGATATTTTGCTGACACACAGGAACAGAACCTTATATRATTTTAGTTGATGATCTCTGTTTTTAGGATCGTCACTATGGAGGGTCTGATGCAGCGGCTGGAGCAGGCGGTGTCTCGCCTGGAGCAGATGTCTGTCACCATGCAGCTGTCCAGTGGCGTGGCTAACGGGAGCTGCGTCAACGGCATCAACGGAGGCGGGGGTACGATTTAAAAAAGTTTAAAAAATCATTTGGGACTTAAAATATTTTTGTTTTCACCGTGTTTCTGAGCTTGAATGAGTAAATGAGGAGGGACTGTGTGTTTGCAGGTGTGTCTCAGAGCGTGGAGGTTTTCGATGTTYTGCTGAAAGGTCCAGTGACAGACTACCTGAACTGCAGCCGGGCGATAGGGAGCGAGGTGGAGAAACACGTGAGTGACATGTCGGCTCATTCAGGCGACAATAAATATTTACTTCATAGAAACACGTTCAGATCTCTTCAGTTCCTTTAAAAGAATCATTATCTTATTTTCTTCTTATCCTGCTTATAAGTTTTAGCTAACCTTTTAATATTTTTAGYTACTACTTTGCYACTGCTRGYTAACATTTTGCTAAGTTTTGTTTACTTAGCCTTTTCAAAGTTTTAGCTATTATTTTGTACTTTTAGCAAGGATTTGACTATTTCATCCTCTGTTTTGTTACATTTACATTTTGGCTAGCCTTTTTCTACTTTAAGTTTTAGCTACTCTTGCTATTTTAGTTTTACCTACTTTTTTGCTACTTTCAACTAGCCTTTGCGATTCTCAACCTCTCAGTTAACTATTAGCTGTTTTTAGCTTCTAGCTAGAATCATGCTGCTTTTAGCTAACCTGGCCTTTTCACACTTTTTTTTTAGCAAAAGTGTTTTGTTACATTTAATTTTTGGCTTACCTTTTCCTTACAGCTACCCTTTTGCTGCTTACATTTTAGCTACTTTAATTAATTAATGTCTTCTACTTGCCTTTTACAATTCTGAAACTTTCAGCTAACCTTTAGCTTTTAGCTACCATTTTGCTTCTTTTAGCTAGTCTTTTGCTACTCTTCGTTACCTCTTTGTTACTTTTAGATTTTAGTTAGCCCTTTGCTAAGTTTAGCTCTTATAAAGCGTTTTGATACTTTAGTTACATTTTTGTACTTTTAGCTTTTAGCAACCTTTTTGCTGTTTTAGTTTTAGTTACTCTTTTTCATTTCTACAAGCCCTTTTACATTTTTGAACATTTCAGCTAATAATTAGCTGTTTTAGTTAAAGTATTTTGCTACTTTCAGTTCTTAGCTAGCCCATGGCAACATTTGTTTTAATTTCATTTGTCTGTTAGCAAAATATTTGAAGAGTCAGTGGATGGATTTTAATAAAGTAATGATCAGATGTTTGCATCTACGACTGAATGACTCAGCCTGATTCAGCTAGTAAACCTTAGCAAACACATACATTTCCTTGATACAGTGAGTTTTATGGATAATGAGTTTTATGTGTTTTCAGCTGAGAGTCATCTGCTTCAAACAATACACATGATGTGAGATTTGTTTCAAACTTTTAGCACATAAGGTGGCAGGTGACGTCTATTCCTTTGAGGAATGTTACTTTAATWTAAAATGTTTTTAATTTTAATCACACATTTTCTCACTGAAGTCTCTCCATCTCCTGGCTCAGCTCTCTAATCTAACTCAATCTGTCAATCAGCGTCTCTGAAGCGTTAATATTATATTTGTTTAACTTATATTACCCAGCTTTTCAACCACTGGATGTGAGATTGATTAAAACTACTACATAACAAGAAGTGGACCTGGTCCTTAAAGAACATTGTCTGATCCTGAGCGTGATTTTTTTATTGCTCAAAGGAACAATAAGCTCTTCAGAATGTTTCCTCTTAAACGGGATCATTTTTGGTTACAGTGGAGCTGATGTTTATCTCACTGAGCACCGGTGTGTAAACAGAAAGGATTGKTCCACTTAAAGACACACAGGTCTGGAAACTGAAGGGTACTGATGTGTGTGTGTGATCTATTCAAAATATATGCATTTATGATTGCAAATGTCTGTTTTTCTCTTCTGCAAAGCCAGAGATGCAAGCGTTTGTGAACTTTGACTTTGTGTGTTTCACAGAAAACCAGTTGGCTGTAAAACCTGTTGTTTTGTCCTCTGAACTGATCCAAAACTACACAGCTTTTTTGGGAGGGGGAAACATAAAACACATTCTAGTTGTGTTTCTTCTGTACTTTAATGAGACACTTTCTATCTCTGTGTCTCATCACTGACCGGACTGGAGGAGGGAGATGAGCGTAACTCAAAGCCAGAGTTATTTCCCTGAAGTTTGCAGAGTCCCTTAAATGGAGAAAGCAGTCCATGGTGGTTCCTTTAGCCTGCAAATGTGTGTACACTATGTATGTGTGTCAGACAGACACATTCACATTTCTGCAGCAGAGAACATTTAGCTTTTCTGAGGTCATTAACACCTAACATATTACTTTTAAAAGGCTACAACACTTTTCATTCACAGGTACYGGCTCAGGATTTGGCTAGCTCAGTTATTAATACCCGGATAAATCTAATAATTTACTTTGAGGGATAGTACAGCTCTTTGGAAGAGGGTTTACCTTATGCGAATATTACTTTACTCAGTTTATGTAGTAAAGAGTTTTAACACTTAAATGTGTTCTTGCAGGCAGAGATGGTGAGCGACGCGCTGCAGACCCAGAGAAAGTTCCTGAAAATGGCCGCCACACACCAGGAACCTGCGCAGGTACAACCAGGTCCCACTCAACTACACAGACACGACCTCTGCAGTTCTTTGGCGGTTTAGTCCAGGACAGTTAATGTAAAATGTTGGCTTGGTTGTTTCGCGAGGCTCAAACTGCTTTAAGCGTTTCACACTCCCCAGCAGGGAGATGAAGCGGACCCAAGTCCCGTGTTTCCCAGGCAGGCCGAGCCGTTCGCAGAGGGATCAGTCCGCTTTGTGACCGAGAAAAATGCTAATGCAACACATTCCCTGCGTGCTCAGGGGCAGAGGCAAAGGAAGGCAGGGGTGTGAGGGAACTGATAATGACATCATCCGTTCGGACTGCTGTTTGTGTCGTGTGTGTCGGTGTCACTGGGGCCACAGTCAGGGTTGCCAGATAAGAAATGACAAACTGTTGTCAGGATGATCTGATGATACGTGGGCGTTTGCGTGAATAAAATCAATTTTTTCAGTTCTAAATGCTAAAACTATGTTGTATTTGGGATTTTTCAAATCGTATTGTATAGACCAGGGGTTCTTAACCTTTTTGACCTCAGGGMCCAATTTGTTGAACATAAAGTGACACGAGGCCCAGTCAGACATTACCAATGTACGGATCAAAAAGATAATTATTCTAAGTCTTGGTTTTATTTTTATTGTATTTACATCATAACTAAACT